CCCCCTCGACCTGACGACCACGGGGAGCTCTGCCCCGGTTCCCCCAGGGGGTTTACCGTGGTGCCTCCTTCACTTTGGAAAGGCCCCTCGACACCAGGTCATTCCTGAGTCCATGCGACTGCAAATGGGCGTCTGGGGACCTGGCGGGACACTGGCTGGCCTGAGCATCCCTGTGACTCGGGCCATCACCGCCTGCATTTCTGCCCCCGGCCTGGCCCACGTCTGCTCGTAACACCCAGCTCCTCTCAGGGGCTCCCGAGACCACTGGACTCAGGTTTTGATGAAGCCGTTTAGAGTAGTGGCTTTGGGGTGGGGAGGGTTAAATCTGGGAGTCTGAGGTTTGCAAAGGTTAACCACTGTGCATAAAACAGATGAAAAACAAACCTCTTCTGTAGAGCACAGAGAACTACATCCAGTATCTTACAACCACCTTCAATGAAAGAGAACTGAAAGCGTGTATGTGTGTGTACATGCATGACGGGGACACTGGGCTGCACGCCGGAAACCAACACACAGTAACCGACTGCACTTCAGTAAAAGATGAATAACCAGGGTGCGGAGCAGCGGCTTCTCCCCCGCCAGACGGGCAATGACCAAGTGGTGCCTGGGGAACACCCGTCCTGCATCCCTGTCCCACCCGCTGGGCCTCCAGGTGACGACCGTTGGGGATGCGCACGCCCGCCAGCACACACCTCACATAACGAGGTCACTTCATTCCTGGAGGAGGAACAGACTGGAGACTCGAGACTCTTAGGGGACTTTGGGGCTCGGCACAGTCTTGGCCACAAAATCCTTTCCTTGTACAGAGAAACCCACAGCCCAAAAGTGACAGAGGCAGGGGCGGACCTGGTTAAACCGGGGAGTGGACAGCGTGCGGGGCTGGCTCCGAGCCCTCCTGCCCTCCCCCAGCTAAACTCCCGAACCCGGGGCCCTTTGAAGTATCTGAGAACCACGTCTGACATCACACTGCACTGGTGATGGGTCCTGGACATGCTGCCCCCAATGTGGCACCATTCTGGGCCGAAGGTCCCTCCTTCCTGCCCACCCTTCTCCCCGGAGCAGATGTAGGACCCTCATGGGAGAGGTGCCCCCTGAACCTAGAGGAAAGGACCTCCTTATCTCTGAGAAGATTCTGGGCAAACAGACCCCCCGCCCCCGTTTGCTGCAGACCCAGCGTTTCTCCAAGGCCACCCCGCCCTTACCACCCCCAGCACGAAGGCTCCGTGTGCCCACCAGGGACCTTCACCTCCAGGCCCGCACACCCCCCAGTCACACAAAACAGCAAATAGAGGTGGTGCTTTGCCCCTGTTCATCTGTCTTGGCCAGATTAATTTTCAGAGCCAATCAGCAGCCCTACAAGGCTCCGGGAACACTTTCTCCTCCCTCTTCCAGAATCTGAGCGGGCGGCCCCTCCCTCCTGCCTGAGCCTGCGGTGAGGGGCTCGTCACCGCCACCTCCGAGGTGGAGCCCTCCCTGCGCTGAGCCCCAGGGCCGCCGCTCCTCCCACTGAGCTGCTGGGCAGGTCCATGGCACCGTGTCTGTCACACTGATGAGAAACCAGGACGTGACTGGTTTCAGACACACTTACGGAGCCACACTCGCGAGTCTGCTCTCCTGGTGACACCGCCTCAATTACTTCTCTTCCAAATATTTGAGTTTTTCTTTGTAATGTTATAATTTTCCTTTGGAAGACACGTGACTTTATTAACTTGAAAAAATGAGAACACTTTCAAGATATCGGAAATTAGATTTTGAAACACGTCAAAATACCACCGATCTATCAGGAACTGTAATCTGTTCATTTCCTTTAGATTTTGTTTTGAGACGTTTCCATTTGGCTTAAAAGGTTTTAATGCCGCTATCTGTCATCACACGCTGAGTCCCAAGCACCAGGGAGAGACCCTGTGGATGCTGCCAGACTTCTAGCAGAGACCGAGCTTTACCTTCCAGAGTCAGGAATTAGCAGAGACATTCATACCAAATGCATTTCAAAAAAAAAAAATCAGAAACATCAAAATCAGGCTCAGTCCTGCACAAGGCTATGAAAATCAGAGAAAGGACTACTGTTAGCTTTTTAAAGACATTGCAACTTGCCCCTCTACTCCCATTTTCACTTCCCCAAACCTGCTCCAAATGCACGGACGCCTCTTGTCTCTGTCCAGACTGGAGACCGGTCAGAAGAAGCTACGTGGAATGTGGGAACCTGGGCTTGAGAACCATCAGGATGACCTCAGACAACTTCAAAGGTGAGAGCAATACTGCCTTTGAAATGCAACACTGCCATGTGGAAAAGGACAGGGGGCGGAGAGCCGGTCTCCAGATATTTGTGGGTCCAGGGAACCTCTGGGGACCCCTCACTGTCAGGGAGAGCCAGGGCTGGGCGAGCCTCTCACCGCCACGCTTCCATTAGTGGATGAAATAAATGGGCTGCGGTTTGGTCCTTGTCTGCCCCCGGGGAGGGTGAGGTCAGGCTTCTGGCCACTTGGGGCCAGAGAGGAAGCAGAGGAGACTGGACGAGGACGCAGGGGCCGTGCAATGGGTGTGGGGGGGTCTGCCCTGCCCTGCGCACTCCCCCAGCAGCCCACCGGTCTAGGCAGAACCTCCGCGCCCGCACGCAAGAAGGGTAGGCACCCGGAACGGTGACCCTCCGCGGTTAAGAGACGGCGGCCAAGCCGGCGTCACGAGTCGGGTCCGCCCAGGTCCCAGACGGCACTTCCCCAGCTGAAGCGACGCCGTCTCCACCCAGGAGCCGGGAGCCTGGGCGGAGCCAGGCTGTGGCAGGACGCCCAGAGCCCGGCACTGCCCCGGCTGGGTCCACACCTGGCAGGTCTCCAGGGACAGACGTGCAGGGGCTGGTGTCTGCGCGTGTGTGAATCACAGTGAACCGGCTGGGGCTGGAGGTGTGACCTGGGGTCATCACCGTACACGTAACATAAAACCCCGAGGCCTGGGTGAGCTCCCTCGGGGGCGAGGGAGGAATCAGGAATAGGATCCAATGATGGGGGGGGTGTCTCAGCACAACCGGCCTCAGAAAGGAGGCCAGTCAGCAACTCCGGGAGGGCAGGGAATCTGCGCGCAGGAAGTGACTCTGGTGCCGGGAGCTGAGGCCCTGGGGACGCCCTGAACGGTAGGCCTGGTGGGTGTCAGGAGAAGCCGCGGGGTGCGGACACAGTCTGGGAGAAGTCTTCCTGTGAAGGTGGCGGGTGAGAAGGCCTGGCTGGGGAGAGACTGGTGTCCAGGCGGCTGAGCACCTTACTGAGGTGGGAAATACTGCAGCAGATCTGTGTGCTGACATTACTCAGCCAGAAGGACGGAGCAGCGATGGCACAGGAGAGAGAGGGGGCCCGACCGGGTGGCAGGAGGCGGCCTCAAAGCGAGGTGGGAGCAGGCGCCTCGCCCCAGGCCAGGGGCCCCAGTGTTCACTGGGCAGCGGTCCGATGAGGGAGGGGCAGGGCCTCCGCGCAGTGAAACAGGCGTCTGCGTCACAGACGGGATGACCACGCACGCACGCGCAGGGCGGCTGCCTGGGTGAGGAGACCTGACCTCCGCGGTTATGGCTTTCGAGTGAGACGATCAGCAGAGCGAGGAGATGACGCGAGGACGGCCAGTGGGGCGGGCACAGGAGGACCCACTGCTGGTCCTGCCCCTCCCCGCCCCTCCAGCCCTTCCACAGACACGGTGGGCCCAGCCCAGCCCGCTGTCCCTGTGTGGCCGGAACTCCGCCCAGGGGGGGCGGATTCTCAGCACCAGAGCATCCTCTGACTGGGCCGCCCTGATGGCCTCACCCCAAGCCAGTCTGGATGCGTTCCCAGTCTCTGGACACCACGTGGCACCAAACAGGATCCCACTGGACGGGGCTGAGGGGGCAGGAGAAGAGGGGCTGAGGATCTGAGCCCTCCATCCCGGGCGCGGGTCCTCACAGCCACCTGGCCCTTCCCACCACTGTCCCCGCACCTCCACGGGTACACATGGTCTTGGGGCCCCACAGACCCTCGGCCTCTCCCCACCCTCACGGGTTGCTAAAGTCACACACAGCGCATTTTGGGTTTCGGCCGGAAAAGACCAGGATGCCCTCCGCTGCCAAACCGTTCATCAGGCCGGCCTCCCCACGCTGACGCGTCTCTGCGGTCTCCGGTCTCCTGCCTGCGCTTGGCAAGGAGCCCCCGCCCCTACTTGCCAGGCAGGGAGCCTCCGTCTAACAAGAACCGGCGGTTGAGTGAGTTCTCATTTCAGGAGCCAGACTCACAGCCACTGAACAAGGGCTTCCCCAGGAGAGGAAGACAGTGGCCGATCTCCGAGTGGCTCCGGGAGGAACCTGCTGCGGGCCAGGAGCGCCGTGAACAAGCGCACTTCATGTTAATTAACCGCCAGGCCGTAAAGCCGAGCCCTGCAGACGCGGCGCAGGTCGGTTTCGGGCCGCGCTGACTTCCGAGTGGCCGCACACCGCCCCTGAGAGGGAGCACGCCCGCCCGCGTGAGTGCAACTCACCGCGGGGCCCGAGACCGGGCACCCGCGTACCGGGTCCCTGGGGCTCAGCGCCGTCAGCCCTCACTGCTGACGGGGCGTTTGGCCAAGGGCCCCCTTCTGACGCCCGCACAGCAGCGTCAGGACAAGGCCCTGGATTCGCCGCAGAGACACTCTCCTTGCACGCTGCCCCCACCCCACACATGTCTTTAACAAGGAAGATACAAGTGCCCCCCCCGACCCCAGAGAAGAGCCATTTCTCTCGGCTACAAACTCAGCAACTGTGGACCATCTGAAGAAGGAAGTACAGGTTTCCAAAAGTTCCAACCTTTCCTTAGCCACGACTGTTGTTTCTCGGGGAGACACCAAATTGCAATTTCAAAGGTAACCAAAACCAAAACTGTCCAATTAGCCAGGCATCGTGGAACGGCGTCTCAGCCAATGGGAGGACCGGCCTGGCCCCAGCCAGCGGCTCCTCTGCTAACGCAGCATGACGTCGCGTGGACAGACCCTCCCACTGTCCCCCGGCCGGTGCTCGCCTGGCCTCTCCCCCGAGACCACACGGCCGCCTGGGTGTCTCAGCAGACAGCCTGCAGCTACTCACCGAGCCGACTCCCGTCTGAAGGATCTTCAGTCCTGACACTTCTTCCAGTTTCTCCTTGTTGTCAGCTGTTAGGAGAAATTAAGAAGCAAGAGGTCAGCTTGGAGAGGCAACGTTCTCAAGACACCCGGAGCGCTCCCTCTCTGGACACGTTCCAGGAAGGCCCCGCTCGGACCACTGATCCCATCAGTGCCGTGGACGAGCCTGGGCGGAAGGCTCCCACCGAGGGGCCAGTGGATGTGTGCCCCCAGCTCTGCCCATAAAACGTCGTCTCAGGAAAGTCACAGCACCCTTGGGAAGCCTGGGTGAGAAGCTGTGGGCAGACCTGCTTTGCAGACTGCGAAGTCTGATTTTAGGACGACGTGAAGGTTGTTAACTATAATCACTGGGAAACAGGTTCTATTAACGAGCATTCCGTGTCCACAGAACGGCTCAGTAGCAGGCAAGACTGAGTGGTGCCTCCGTCCCGTTAGCTCTGGGAGCTGCTTCATTTATTCCCTCTTATTCCTGCCCCTACAAGACACATCCTGCAACCATTTAGCTCCGGTGCCATCCTCAGCCTGGCCTGCTCCTGACTTCGGATGAGGAAGACTTTCAGAGAACGCGTCACGCTCCGTATCAGCCCAGGCGGGGTGAGCCCTAGAAACAGCCAGCAGTCGGAGCGAGAGCGCAGCTAACTCTGGGGCCCGCACCGCAAACCCCCAGACCCCTCCTGGAGAAGAAGCCGTGTCACAGAGCGACTGGCCGTGGCTTACGATTCTGTGGAAATATTCCTCTGGATAAAGCCCCGTTGTTTTGGAAATGAAAACCAGAAAGAAACGGTATTTTATTGCAAACCTTAAGAATGAAGAGTGCCTTGCAATTGTGATTAACGCAGAATGAGAGAGCAAGAAAACAGAAATTACTTTCACCCCTTATTGTAAAACGCCCACGTTAGTCCTGGAGACGACACTGCACCTGTTCCAAGGACACACCCCAGGCCCTGCTGCAGCCGGCCTCCCCTGCCTCTGGGGCCCTCCCACCATCTCCCCTGGACGGAGGAACGCCACTTCCACATGTGGGCAGTCGTGTGGGCACTGAGAGGGGCAGACCCCCGGCCCGGGGTCGGAGCAGCAGCACTTTAAGGGGCTCTGAGCTGGGTGGTGGCGCCGAGGGGGCAGGGAGGGGCGGTGGCCCCAAAGTAAACCCTGGTGGAGGGGAATATTCTGTAAGAGGCAGAGCACAAAGCAATTGATTTTAATGTTCTCTCGCGAACAAAGGAGACACTTGGCTGAATGACAGGCCACTCTGGGGGGATAACAACGAGTCTTCGGCAGACTGAGGAGCACAGAGCACATAAAGACGGGAATTAAAAATACTCCATTTATTGCCTCAGAGAAGTAACAGACAGTTCAGGCTCCGAATGAACAAACCAGCCTGGCAACACTTCCGCAGGTCACCCAGTCCAGGGGCAGCGAACGTCCTTCCAAGAAACGGCCAGCTTGGCCACCGCGGGTCTCGACCCGGCTGTGGGGACAGTACTAAGGAAGAGGGACAGGTCTGGCTGTGTTCCAGCAAAACCTTCTCCACCAAGCAGGGGGGCCCGGGGTGACCACAGGCCGTGCCCACTGGCCCACAAGTCCACCCCACACCAGGCGGCAGGTGCGACGCTGGCCGTTCTGCACCTGAACACCTCCCGGGTCACCTGTCTGGGGGGACAGTCAGTGTCAGCATAGCTTCCAGGTTCCTCTGTCCCCCCACCAACACCTCAACCAGGCCCGGGCAGGTACCTCCCCAGGCCCTCAGCCCTTTCCCTCCAGAAACCCACCCGACCCCTCCCCTCCGTGAACACAGGACCGTCTCAGAGCTGCCAGGTGCGGGGAGACCTTTCCAGCAAAACCACGTCCTTGTCCTCACATGTGACCAGGGCAGGCTCGCGCAGCCCCAAGTGGGACGGGGCGAGGGGAGTGGGGGAGGGGGTCTCAGCAGAGGCGGCATTCCCCCGCCCCGGGGGGGGGGGACATGACCTCAGCGCACAGAGAACCACAGAACATAGTGGACGACCGGCTGGGTATCTAAGCCTTTGTTTCTGACATAATTAATTGCAAGTGTGTGGAATTTAATTTTTCATAATGGCTGCGTTTAATCACTGGTTCAAAACGTTCTTGGAAAAGTGAACATGATCTCTGGGGAGCCAGTCCCAACTGGCTCCAGCCCTGTCTGGACGGCACTTTGTGACCAAAGTTTAGGTCTTAACCCGCCATGCTTCCTCGATGCTAAGGTGTGCGTGTCCCCAGGAGGAGGAATCCGGGTCGGCGGTAGTGCACGCGCCTAGCGCGCATGAGGTCCTGGGTTCCATCCCAGTACCTCCACTAAATAAACAATAAAACAAAATGCGTGTTTCCCCAAGGGGCCCCTTGGCCTTTGCGCCCACGCCCTCAGGGGCCATGGCAAAAAAACACGCATCATCGCTTCTACTGGAAAATCTCCCAGGGCACCTTCTGACAAGCTCCAGAAACTTCTGGAAGGGGCATCCACCTCCATCGTTGCTAGAGTGACAGTGCCCCGTGGGGTTCTTCCGGAGCCCGTCTCCTGCTCCTGGCGGAGAAGTCTCCGTGGAGACGCGATGGGCTTTCCCAACACACCCGCGAGGCGCCTTGGCGGCCGGGGCCTGCACCGTCCCTGGGACTCACACCGATGCCTCGCGGTTTTGCGCTCCTTTGTGACCTTCTCGGTTGGGCATCAGGCCCCTTCCAGCAGTGCCTGCTTGCTCTGTATTTAATGTAACTTTTTGTTCCTTGAAATGTCTCGTTGGTGGGGGTAGCAGACAGACACCCAGTGGTGCCTTTTCTCCAGCGCGTGTACAAGGCACACAACTCCCCCTCAGCACAGCCCTTCTGGGGTTTCTGTTCACTTGCATTTGTTTGTTGGCACTCACACCGACCCACAAGAGAAACCGGCCCAGCGCTCTTCAGCGTGCTCTGCCGTCCTCAGGACATCCCGGAGCCCTGCTCAGCGCTGTTTCCACATGCTGTCATTTTGTGTGTTCCCTCGCAGGGTTCCCTACATGGCTGCACGGGTTCCTGCCCCTGCGTCTCTCCCGCGGAACCAAACCGCCACAGAACGTGGTCCGTGTGCTCCTAGACTGTGTCCCTCATACGGACGGCACCTCTAACAGGCGTTCAGACCTGGCTCAGAGGCACCCCCACACCTCCGAGCACCCCCCCGCAACACACCTTCTCTCTGGAAACACGTGTTAAGTTCAGCACCACCTCCACCTGGGTGCAAAATTCTCCCATTTTTTTTTCAGGCTTTGAGGAAGCATTTTGAGGGGGAAAGAAAAGCCTTTCATTGGCCAGATGTTCTGTCTGAGTTACTTCCATGGCCAAACATGGACCCTGAGCTGGTGGGCGTGAGCCGCCGGCAGGCCAGGACGCAGAGACCCCAGGAGAAGCTGCTTTAATAAAGGCAAGAACAATGCATAAAGCCCACTCTTATCTTCACTGGAGACAAAAAGGGTTTCCAAACACAAAAAGAAGTCCTTTAAAATTAAATTCACTAGATGAAGGATATGCAAATTACCTGGAGAAGCAGAACCCTACAATGTTCTCAACATTCTGCAATAGCCTATTTAATTAGTATTTTAATTTATCAGAATAATTCTTCGCACTTGACAATGTATGCAGCATTCCATATAATTAAGCACGTAGCGACAGTGGAATAATTTTGCCTCTTTCTTTATCCTCGTGATTTTAACCTGAAAGGATGAGCAGAAGTCCCTTCTGAGACCTAAATTGCGACGGGACGACTTAATGCTGGGCCGCGCTAGCAAGCCCGAGGGCGGCAAGCGGGGCTGCGGGAGGCGGCAGACGCCAGGGGGGCTGGACGCCTGCAGGAGAGGGCGGGGCGGTTTCTGGCGAGCCACAAGTCCTGCTCCCGGGGGAGCATCCGTACCTGCTTCCACCTTAGGAGAAACGCTGCGCTCGGCCACCTGCTTACACCCAGAGGCGTCTGTGGAAGCAGACAGGCTGGACGTCTGGGGGCTGCTGGTTAGACCCACCAGCCCTCCTTGCCCTGAGCCGGCCTCACGGAAACCCGCACGGCCACCAGCAACCTTCCCTTTCCATCACCGGGAAGTGACTCGACCTTTCCTTAGAGATGCCCCACGTGGAACCTGTCCGGCTGAGGTCAGTCCTGGGAGGGAGCAGATTTGGGAGAAAGTTGACCTCGATGCTCCGGGTGCCCAGCCCCCACAGTGCCCAGGCCATCTCGCCCACACCTCCCCTTTTCTGTGTCAGGGCCAAGGGGGTTTTCAGAGCCAGGGCCCAGGTGAATAGTGGTCCTTCCAGGACCAGAGGTGAGCCGTTGACACCTGACCTGGAGCTGGGCAGGGGGTCCCTGGGCTGCAGCCCCACTTAGTCTCAGTCTCACTGAGACTGACCCCTCCACCCCCCCGCCCCGGGGCCAGGCACTTGGGCAGTTGGTCCCGCCGCAGACCCGCTGGGTGAGGGACAGGACCACAGCAGGACCGCAGGGGTAGGCGCCTGCTTCTGTGGTCTTCTCCACCGGCCACCAGGACACGCCTGGTGGGGAGGGTCCCCACATCTGGCCTCCTGTCCTCTGGACAACAGGCTGCTGCCACCTAAGGCCACAAGGGCTTGAGACGGGAGGGGCTGGGGGTCTGAGCCTCAGGAGCGCTGGGCGGGGGTAAGACACAAGTTAATTAACTTGTCAAGCCTGCTTCTCAGCTGGAAAGCAAAGGATTCCTGGCTCGAGAGGCCCCCTTTCCCAGCAGTGCTGAGCGTCCACCCCGGCCTATCTTCGCATTTTGGTTTGCGGTCCTGCAGGCTTTCCTGGATGACTGTGGACCTGCGGCAGCTGCACACGGTGGCCCAGGAGCATTCTGCACCCAGAACAACGTCCACTAGTTACCAGTTCTCCTGGACGTCAGGTTAGACACCGTGTCACGAGTCCTGGTCCTGGCTGGGGGCTGGACGGGTCCTGAGGCTACAACTGCTCGTGTTTTACCTTTATAAGAAAACTACAATTTTACTTCTTTTTAAAAAAATAGAATTAAAAGTTTAGTTAACACTTTAAAGATTGTTTGTTTATGAATTATATTTTGTCTAATAACTATCGTAGTTCGTTTTGAAAATTTTAAAGAAACATTTGTTTTATAATAGCTTATTTTGAATATTTTAAAGAAAAATATTAATTATATTTTGTTTTATAATAGTTCATTTTGAATTTTTAAAATACGACTTTTTGAAGGCATATAATTCTAATTTTCAATTTCATATGTATATTTTTGATAAAATTGCTTTCACATTTTATACATTGTATGAAGTTACAGTTGGATCATTTCTGTCTAAATGCAGTTTTATGAAAATCTTTGTTAGACAATATTATTAATAATTTTGTAAACCAAAGTGAAGAAAATATATTTACAAATATGTTCATAAATTTATTGTATTTATACACAATAATTTAGGAATTACATATGTCTTTAACTCAATGCTCATCCAAACTCCGCTCAGCCAATAAGAGAACCACCAATAATTCAGTCCAACTGTCCTTTATATTCGGCTGATTTTCAGAAACAAAACCCATAGCTTTATGCATATTTAAACTTTCTTTTCATTATGAAAGTATAGTTTCCAAGTATGAAGGCGGAATGTTAACAGCTCATTCTCCTGCTGTAGACTTTTCACTATTACAAACCCGGCAGGGCTTCCTTTCGTGCTCTGCAGGGTCCCCCCTGTGGCCTCAGGCTCCTGCCACGGGAGTCAGGCCTTCAGATCCGAACCTGGGCCGCGGCCCTGCCAGCCGGCCGCTCCTTCCAGCCTGGGCGCTCCTAGGAGTGGGCTCTCCTGCCTCGGGGCCTCTGCACTCGCTACCTGTTTCCCGGGCTTAGAATGCTCACCCCCAGTGTCTATGGGACTCCCCTCCTCCACGTCTCAGCTGTTAAGTCACTTTATTGCCACCCAGCGTCAGCCCATCTCCCACCCCTCCCCACCAGCTTCCTTTTCTGCAGAGCGGTTGTCCCATCCAACACAGTGTGCACTTACTTACCAGTTTTCCTGCCTAGAAGGCGGCTCAACAGAGCAGTTCTGTCCTATGAGGCAGGCAGCCCCGCGCCTGGGTCAGTGTCAGATCACCGGAGGCTCTCGGTGACTGTCTGTCAAGGGAACGGAGCCGTGACCCGCAGAGCGCATGAGGAAACTCAGCTCTTGCGGGAGGTTTCTGCGCCATCCCTCACTGTGACCGTGAGTTACCGTGTCATCACAGCCTCACGTGTGCGGGTCCTTTCCACACCCGTGGTTGGACTTTCTGAATAAGCATCGAAGCAGAGAAGACGTCTAGGCTGCCTGCTGGACTTGGAGTCCCCACCACCGGAGGCGGCCCTCCGGGCGCTCGGGCTCAGGACCGTCGGGCGCGTTCTCAGTCCCCCATCCCCACATGGCCGTGCGGGAGCTGCCGTCTGCATGTGGAGCAAACCGTGCAGGATGGCCTGTCAGGCCCTGGGCTGAGCGTCGCGGCAGGAGGGCACCTGGCGGCTCCTGAGACCGCGGGCAGGGCAGGTCCCCGCAGCGACACCCCTGCGCGGTGACAACACAGTCG